TAAATTCAATTCTCGAGAAATGTTGAACTTTTGCACAAATTCTGACATAATGAACGGGGAATTACATAAATGTGGGGTGAGAGGTAGAGCCTTGCAGCCCAATCAATTAGGGGCACAGGGGCTCAGGGGCACAGGGGCCAGTGGCCAGTGGCCATGCATGGCCCCCACAGTATGATTTGGAAAATGTAATAGACTTGAGTATGCATGCTGCAAACATATACATTTGCATAAATGCAACAAAACAACATGCAACATCAGCAGCAACCATGCCACACAATGGCAAAACGGAAACAGGAAATGCAAATGTCTTGCAAGAGCGGAAATCTATTTCAATAAACTTGCGACACTGATAAATTATTAATCTGACATTTTCCAGTAGTTGCCGTTGCTGTTGCTGTTTCCCTTGATGTTGCATGTTGCATGATGCACGCTGCAATTGAAGCTTTAGCAAAATTCAATTATCCAAACTGTTGACAAGGAGTGTTCAGGTCTCCTGTTTCGGTTGCTGCTCCAGAGAATTCCTCAAATCCGTGACAAACAAGAGGCAATCAACGAAATAAACCCATCCATCCATCTATATATATATGCATAACTGTGTGCCTCAGCATGTTGCAAACTAGCAACGTGCGATGTTCTACTGTGTGGCATCGACAGGCCTCAGCTTCGGACTTTGACAGTTGGAATTAAAAATTCTTCTTCGTTTCCCCTGATTTATGCTTTCGGTGCGTAGAACATGGTCTAACAGGCGCAGCACCAGCACCAACTCCAAAAAGAAATTCATTTCTGCACAAAAAAAAAACCCATGTGTCTGTTATTCGTTGTGGGTTTCGGTTCTGTTTCTGATGTTAACAAAGAGAGCAGCAAACGAGGGAGAGGCAGAGGTCGAATGTTGCGAACAGCAAGAGGAAACACGTTGCACAGGCCAAAGTTTTCAGCCTGTGATGACATGCGGCTGGCTTCCTCTGCGGTTTCTGAACCCATCACAACCGAAAGCTTTGCTGTGGTCCCGGTCCCCACCGTTTGCTAAACAATAAAATTAATCGCAATTTTTTGTTGTTTTTCTCCACATGCGAGAATCTTTGCCCGACACTCTAATAATAAACAGTGAATAAATATGTTGTTTTTTCTGCATTCCTATTCCTATTCGCAGTATCCACAAATATGGCAAATTATTTACCGATAATTTTTACTAATTTTTGCCACCACTATACCCTTTTTTGCTACCACTATTCCACTTAAATTTCAATTTTTTTGCTAATAATTTTGATGCCATTTTGTGGCTCTTGTGGATAATTTTCCAACGCTGTTTCGGGTTGCGCACAAACACTTTAAACCATTTACATTTTTTTGGTTGCCGCTGCACTTCTGCTTCTAGTCTGTTGCATGCATTCAAAAGGTTTGTGCTGCAAAGGCTGGCTTTCGCGTTCGTGTTCCGCTTTGTTTCTTCAAAATTGCAAATGCAACGAATTTTACACCGTCTGCTGCGTTCGCATTCGCATTTGCATTTCCAGCAGTCGCAGTCGCAGTCGCCGGTCGGTCCCATTGAGTGACACAATATAAATCCGAAAGTAGTTGGTATTCCTCTCGAAAATGCTTTTTTAATTATGCTCCGTACACAGCGGGAAGCCAGACAGAGAAGGAGACATTTGGGCTTGGGTGGGTGGAGGAAGAGACTCAACTGTACTCAAGTTTTGTTTGCAGACGAGTTAGACGTTTGATGCTCTGCCAACCCGACCCCGACAACGACAACAACGACGACGACGACGACTTCCTGACTAGTCTGATGTCTGTCCTCAGGACTCGCTCTCTCTCTCTTTTTCTGGCTAGACAAGATTTGCTTATCTACTGCCTACAGTTGTGTATGTGTGTGTGTGTTGGCGTTTGTCTTGCGACTTTTGTTGTTATCACATTGCTTCTTAAGCTGGTTGCTGTGACAGGCGTCGCGAAGCCACACTAAAAATCTATGTCCATCATGCATGAGGCGATCTTCGAGTGGCACTGCTTGACTTTGACTTTGGCTAGACCTTCAAGGTCTTTTACTTTACTTTTAGTAGAGTTTCGTTTCCTAGTCAATGGGTGAGGTTGGGTCATCTCGTATGCAATGCAAATACATGCAATTATTACTAGAGCTTGTCATTATGCAAAATATGTTGCATTATTTATGGCATAAACACTGGCGCTGACGTTGCATGTCAGGCAAAAGTTGCGTTTAGGAGAAAAATGCAAACAAAACAATGGAGAGCAAGGAGCACGGGAACACAGGAACAACAATGTGCAACACACAATTGGTGCCGCACTTAAAATTAATTGAACTTGAAGCAAGTGGAGTTGGTGCCGCTGCCTCTGCCGCTACCGCTGGCAACAGCCCCAAACTCATGAGAAATTCTGTGGTCGAGCGCCCAAGAGGCAGCAACTTTTAGCCACAACACACACGCACAAAACACACACACACACACACACACACACACACTAGGGTTTGTGGCACTTGTAGAAAAGCTTTCATTAGTTCTGGCCGGCCAAGTTTTCGGTCCTACATAGATTGTATGTGCATGCCCTACCCTCAAGGAGCATTTATGCACTTTGAACATGTAGCAGGAGATCTTTCAGGACTCTATTTGTGTGCATGTGTACCGAAGGGTATCAAAACCTTCTACTCCTGAGACTGAGGCTGCCATCCATCCAATTCGGTGCTATGTTGCCTGGGCGACAGTTTACTTATAAATATTTCTCTTTCTTTTCTTTTTTTTTTAGTTTTGTTGGTCAAGTTTCAACGGCAAACTTAATATTTAGTGCCATTTGCTTGCTCTGACAGTTTCCAGAAGTCAAATCCCTCTTGTTGTTGGTCAGTACTGGCACTGGTTCTTGCTTTCCTTTGGCTTTCCTCCATTCCCTGCGAACAAGTGTTGGGGTCGGTGGCAGGAGGTGGAAAGTGCATTGAAATCTTTGTGGAAGTAACTTGAGGAAGCCAACTTGCACATAACAAAAGCGAACACAACAACAAGCCAACAAGCACAGGACAACAAATGGTTTTTATCGCTTTTTGCCTTCTGGCCCCCTTCCGACCCGCTGCCACACTGCCTCCTGCGCTATAGTAGTAGTTGTAGTTGTAGTTGTTTTTTGTGCTGGTTATTTGTCCAACTTTTTCTATATAATGCATGGAAAGTTGTTTGGTTGTTTGGTTGTTTGGCAGTTGGCCGACTGCTGGCTGCTGGCTGCTGACAGGGCCAAAAGGACAATAACAACAATGTTTGCGGTTAAACAAGTTTTCATGTTTTATTTGGCATAATGAAAATGCTATTTAAGGACTCCTTTCTGGGGTTTTCCCACGCTTTACGACACTCTCTCCCACTCCCTCTGTCTCTTGTATCACCCAGGTAGTATATTAAATAAAATGTTTGACACTTTTTGCTGCCGTAATGCTCCCTTGGGGGTTCTATGTATACCTAATAATTAACGTACCCTTTTTTTGGTTCCCCCTCTCTCAGCGAGCTTAAAGTATTAAAAACCATTTCAATTATGTTCTGCTGAGAGCAAGAAAAACTAAACACAACTTACAACAATGTCTGTCGTCAGATTCGGTGTGTGTGTGTGTGTGTGTATGTTGTGCCATTGTTTGTGTACGTGTCAAAGCATACGCGTTGTGCAAAGTGCGCTAAATTAAGCTGTCATTAAGGACTTAATTAAAGTCCTTTGTTGAAAGTTGACATTGTGTGAAAGAAACGTTTCCAAAAACAAACGACAATGACAACGCTGCTGTTGCTCCTGCTCCTGCTTCTGCTGATGCTGCACTTGAAAGGCTATCCTATAGTCCTCTTTCCCCAAAAAATTAAAAAAGGAAACGAAAACATCAAAGCAACTACAAAAGCAACAACAACAACGACAACGAGATCATGTGGGCGAGTGTGGAGGTTGAGCCAAGGTTTATTTTTCGTAGAGGTAAGGCTGTCCGATACACACACGAAGCAAGGGCTAAAAGCAGCAACCACAACAAAAACCTATTGACCACTTGCCCGTGTGACACAAACAGATCGAACAATAGAGGGTGTCAAAACCCCTTTGGCCCCACCTTCCATTCGACATACCTTGGAAGGAGAATTTCGGCAGAGTCGAAGCCGAGTAGCTGCATGTGTGTGTGTGTGTGTGTGCTCAACATGTGTCAAAATTTTCAACAGTATCATGGAACGAGAAACAAACACGCTGCAAGTGCTTTGGTTCTGCAGAGGGGATGCTTGCGAGGGGAGCGCAACTGTGAAAACTCATTAGCAGGCAAACACAGTAAGAGAAAGGGGAAGAGAGAGAGAGAGAGAGCGGAGGCTAGAGATAGACAACAGGACAATAGCAAGAAGAGACGAAACACAGGTTTCGCACACAAGATCCCGACCTGCCTCTCTGCCACCCAACCACTCCACCGGCAGCAGCCATTGACAATTGCAAATATTCCGACTGTTTGTGAAAGAGAGAGAGAGAGCGGAAGAAGGAGGCTGAAAGAAACGGAGGAAGATGCGGCAAGGGGGCACATTTCAAATGGAAACATAACCGACTTGCTTTTTAATTAAATATTTTGGTATTCAGCCACAAGCGCAGACACGACACGGAAACAGGCGACGTTGTCAGTGTGTCTGCAACAAAACACCCAAGTCCCAAGTGCACCCAAAGACGAGACTGTCAAACTGGGTTTAATTGCCGCCCTGGGGTAACGAATTTCATGTCTGTCTGTGCAGTTACCTGGGATGTGCGCAATGCTTAGCTAAGCAAATGTTTGGCTATTTCCGAAATTGTCAACAACAGAAGCCGTCGGCGAGACAAAATTAATAAAATTCACATTTTCTGCACGAATTTGAGGTAAAATTGAAAAACAACGGTTCAACCGATAAACTTATTCGATCGCAGCTGGAACGCGCTAGTGCTTTATGTTTCGCCCTAACGCGTTTCTCACAATTGCGTTCTGCATAAAAACGATCTCATTTAACATGTCTCTGTTGTTTCGCTGGAGTTCGATGCAAACGAAGCAACAGACCACTGTTAAAGTACTGGTTTAACGCGTCGTCTTCTTTTGTTTTATATCCGCTGTCTTTTTGTTACATTGAAAACGAATTCTCGTGCACGGTATGGCCCAACCTTTAGTTTGTTAATAAACAATTCAAGTGTTCTCCAATCGCCTAGCTGGCGTGTGTGTGTGTTCAATATTCAATTCAACTTTCCGCAAAACGAAACTAAAGTGTGTATCTCTGGCATATTTGGTTACACATTGCGTTGCACACGAATAGACAGTCGTTGGTGCTGCTGTGCTTGCGAGTGTGTATGTGTGTTTGCATGCGTGCGAGTGCAAGTGAATGCTAATCTGACCTGCACAGACTCTTTTTCTCTCTCGCAGAACAATGCGTGGAGTGATATTTGCAGATTAATCATTAATTCAACAAAGTTTGTGCAGAACAAAGTGGAACAACGCTTTTATTGCAATATTTATTATTAAACCATTGTCTCGGCGCGCCTCTTGTTTACCGCTTCGATCTGATGTTTCTTGTATCGCTCTCCCGCTCCCACATATGCTAACCGAAGCGCGAGTTCACAAGAATTCTCTCTCGTTTTTTTGTTGGTAGTTTTCTTTCTTTCTCCTTTTTGCCCTGCGTGGGCACAAACCTGTTTCTGTTGCTATTTCGCTTGAGCCTCATCAAACATATTCGATCAATTGTCGAATCGAATTGAAAATTGAATACACATACACACGGCGCGCGACAAACTGTGAAACTGCATTACTTTGCATGTGTGAGAGTGCAGTGTATACATAATTAATCCAAACGAAATTCGTACACCTCTTCTCCGCCTAGAGCCCAGAGCCCCCGGGAAGCATGGCAACCAGAAATTCGTTTTAAAATCAATTTGCGATCCCCCGCCATTGCCGCCCGCAACGGCAGTGAAATCAATTTCATCGAAAATTGCCGCAAAAGTGTGTAAAAATAATACAACCTAAGTGCGTTAACAGTTATTCGCATAAAAACGAGAGTCGCTTTTTTCGGCTGCTCTCACCTGCACTAACGGTAAAATCAACAAGCAGTGAGCCCTGCGCTATCCCGCTCACACACCACCCAATAATCCCCAATTGAGGCAGCCGAGCCATGCTGCCACTCCTACTGCTGACCCCACTCCTGGCGGCGCTGCTGACCAGCAGTGTAAGCGAGACGGCCGCCGACTATGAGAACACCTGGAATTTCTACTACGAGCGTCCCTGCTGCGCCGCCAATGATCAGCCGAACGGCCATGGGAAGCACAATAGAGGTAAAAAGCCTTTTCCCCCCTATTTATAGCACCGAAGTACAGATACCCTTTCATCTTATTCTAAGCGGAAGAGAACAAAGTTCGGGATTATTAAAGTTACTCGAAGAAGAAAAGAGGAAGATTATTTTGAATTTCCTCTGGGGGTTACAAACATCTTGCCATAACCTAAAGTATCCTCTTTGTGGGGTGCTAATAAAACGAAACATTCAACTCATGTACAGATACGGCGTTTTTTCTGAACAGTTACAAATATTATTTTTCAATTTCTCGGGCAAAAACAATTTGTAATTTATTTGCCATAATATTCGCATGTTTCTTTGTATTTTTGTTATTTATTATATTTTCTGTGGGATTCGATTGGAATACGAATGCAACTGCTGCTTTTTTTTTGTCCCTTTTGTTGTTGGCTTGCAGCCATATTATACATAATTTGCATATTAATGCATGTTCAATGTTGAATATTATTCGAGTGGTTGTGAAAACTGCGAGTTGCTGCTATTGATATGCATATTTCACATTTAAACAAATACCAATAATGTAATCATATTTTAAGCACATATGCATCCCCATAATCCCGCACAGATAAGTCCCTGAATGATATATGATTGACTCCTTAATGCTCTCACCCAAAATGAATATTAATCATTTTAAAGTCAAAATTTGCCTACCTAGCCACATGCTTCCCTTTGGTCTTCTCTGAATTGAAGTTTGTCCAGTTTATTGAGTCATTAAGTCATAAAATTTATTCAAGTTTCTGCCCTGAGAAATCGGAATCTGTTTTCTGGTCTTTTGTCTATTGTTTTTTTGGTATGTTTCTTGTGTCTGGTCTGAGGGTGAAACATGTTTGCTTTGGCTTAATAATCTTTTGGTAAAACTAATTTATCATTTCGACGTTGCTTGATTGAAAAGTTGTACTCAGAGTTCAATGAATTCGGCATAAAACAAAAGAATAATGAAATATAGAAAATGGCTTAACGAGGGGAGGGAAGATGCCGAGACTAGACGTTTCTGCATATTTCTTTCTCGTTTTTTGGGGCTTGAGTCAACAACAAGGGATAGAGCAAATATCGTGTGGCAGTAGATAGAGTGTTTTCCTTTGTAGTAGAGCTGTAGGTGAGTGGGATCAGTAGTCAGTATTCAGGCCGTATCCCACTGGTTACTCCTGCATGGAGCCCAGCCTCTTTGCTGTAGTGTCCATAGCCCAAAGCGCTTGATGCGAATTTGATTTCCACTCTCATCACCGTCGACACCTCTCATACGTACATAGCTAAACGATGAGTTTTGTGTGTGTCGTCCAGTGTCTAAAATCGAAAGGAAAAAATTCGAAATGGGAACATTGTGGCATCCGCCCATAGATCGGGTTGGACGAGTTTAATGAAATTTTCATGTTAAGCGAGAAAGTTGCGCATAAAAAAGAGGAATCCTAACATTGTGGGAACAGCTTAAAGGGTGGATGGAAGATAGAAAGAGATAAAATTGTGTATAAAATATTTAAATCTCATTTTGTGCGGCAAGCAAGGAAACGCAAGTTCTTGTGTTGCATGAACATCGGACCATAGACCCGTAAACATTTTCTAATAGTTCACGTTTTAGAATGCTGGTCAGGGATGGTGCTGCTGCTTCTTGAGGCAGTGTATAAGTGCAGCATAAAACTTCACGTGCCGACAACAACTTTGGTCCTTGCCGCATGTTGCACTGTAAACTCAATAGCTAAGCACTTGCCCCAAAGGAAACGTGAGGCGATTAGAGAAGCGTTCAAACTGTTGTTTTGCGCATACTTTTCAAGAATACCATAGCCAGGGTGTTCGCGTGTGTGTGTGTGTGTGTGTACAGGAGGAATAAGGATCGATTGGAATGTGCTGGAAAGGGACCAGCATAGTCAGAGTTAAAGTGTAAAGCAAATGACTGCACCAAATGCACATACTCTTCACCCCACATCCCCCTGAAGCGCTGATCCTCAAGCAACAATAAATTAAATGCCAGCCAAAACCACAAAACACACACATTCTCTTCTTCGTGCAACAACAAAAATAAACTCTAAAATGTCAACCATAAATTCCCCAGTAGATTTGGTAAATTTATATTTTGTTTATCCGCCAAAAAGAAATGTGCAGGAAAAAAGCGTTTGTTTTATTTCATTTTATTGATTTAAATGAAATTAATTGCATTTCCTCTGTTGGGGAATGAATACGAAATTTATGTCTCTCTTCCCTGCAGCGGAGTCGAAGAGAGAGAGAGAGAGAGACCAATACCTTCTGGCTCTCTCCCCCACCACTTCATTTGTTGAGTCAGCGGTTTGACAGATGTTTCTTTTGCGGCCGCTCCTCTGCACACTCTTTCGCTTTGTTCTATTTTTATATGGCATTGTCTGCTGTTTCTGCTCTTCCTCTCGCTATTCTGTTGCTCACTTCTTTTCTGATTGTAATCTCGTTTCTTCATCTCCTTTCTGTGCCCGCCTGCTGTTTGAAATTATGTGTGAATGACTTCATTGTGAAGGACAGTCCAAGAATTGACTCGTTCGATCAGCAGGTAGACAAAACAGGGCTGATGGACCAATACTTGTCTAACTGTAGTTTTAGATGAACTGTCGCAAATATGGTTTTACATTCACTCTATAAGCATTTCTATTGAAGGTTAACAAAATAAACCACGAAATGTAACTGGGTTCCCTTACATTTTCAAAATAACTAAACAGCAATACAGTTGATAGTGAACTGCTTCGATCGAATTTATTATTGTAAAACTGTAGACAACACAGTTGTACAAGTGGTGTGTTGCTTTTCGTACAGTTTAACAGTAATGTTAAAAGTGCACTAAATATCTGAAACTTTACAGTTCTATTCGAACTAGACATTTGAGAGGTTTTTTACAGTATTTTCTGTAATATCTTTGCCAATATTTTCATATTAAAAACACAGTCCAACAGCCACTGATGTCATATGTTTTGTACTGGACTGCTGACCCACAATCGAAACGAACAAAGGCGATAATTCAAATGGCGTTTTTGGGTTGCCAATGACTTCCTCTGCAGTCACTTCCATTGTGAACTTTTCATCATCATGATGCAGGCCATGTCAAAAGCTGTTTCACAGTTTGTGTGCCACAGATTCGCTCCTGCACGAAGTCCATCCCCACCCGTTTGCTGTAATGTAGATTCGCAGTCCGAGTCCTGGGATTTAACCTGCTTTTAATCCTGTCCCGGAAGGCCCTGGGAGCTGAACAAACTGTGCAGCCTGTGAAAACTGTGCCTGGAGGCCCACCCAAATCATGTTAGCGCAGCTCTTTTCAGAATGGCATCGAAATTGAAATTCAATGCAGTGGGCAATGGGCCTGTCGACACCTCTCCGTGGATAGGGGGCGTGGCTTAAGCACGCTGCTGTGTCAGTGGCACAGAGAGATAGAGACAGAGAGTGAGATGACACAAGTGGCAGGTAGCAGGTGGCAGGTAGCACAGTGGCAGGCGGCAACATCATTAAAAGTATGTTTAAAGAGTCGACTCTCTTTCTAAGTTTTAGTTGAGCATCAAACTGAAAGAAAATCACGTTCCACGCTCGGACTTATCCCCTCGCTGCTGCATTGCATTGCTGCAACTTTTGCCCGACTTTGTCCACTACTTGCCGCCGCAATCTCCATCCGAATGTTGCAAGAAGAACACTTGCAAATACAAGTTATATAACATTCGATTCGATAAGAGTCTCGGCAGTCCCGGGGTCGCTCCTCCGTTTTTCTGCTGATTAAAGAAGAGGAAGTCGAACTTATCGCTTGATTCTGTACGGTTTGGGGTAGGAGGAGGAAGCTCTAGAGGAAGCCGATACAGAGAGAAGGAGAGAGAGAGAGAGAGAGAGAGAGAGAGTGTGTTGCAAAAGCAATTAACAGGCGACAACTGTGTGTATGTGTGTGTGAGTATGGCAGAATGCCATCAATCAACTGTAAATGCAGTTAGGCCACAGATTTTGTCATTTTGCGTCTAATTCAATCACAATCCAAAATTGACGCAAACAAACGCCACTAATGTTAATTTCCATTTATGCCATCCATTTTAAGGTGAAATTTAATTAAGTTTTCGTGCAACCTGCCTGCCTGCCAGCCTGCCTGACTGTCTGCCGCAGTGTTATGTGTGTGTCTCCTTAATTGACTTAAGTCTTAACTTAATTCTAAAGACCATCATTTGCATACTCCTTATGCTAACCCCCAGACTCTTAACTGCAAAGTGTTGCACAGACAAACTCTCTCGCACTTCAATGTGCTGCAACAACAGTGGAGACAGAATGTTTTGCTTGCCACAAAGGTGGCTACCGCACGGAACTCACTTTTGGCTTTTGGGCCAACGAACATTTTTGTGGCACAGGCCACTTGACTCAAGACACATAAGCGAATGTTGCAAAAGAGTATTGTAAGAATAGCATACATGTCGTGTGCATGAATGCTTTTTAATGCATTTCCCCAGCCATGTTTCCCATGTGGTGCGAGTATCTATCATTCAAGTATTTTAAAAACAGAAGGGAACCCAGAATCCATAGTTATAAGGTGCTATGGTCCTTTTTTGGTGGGGTATTAAACTAGAAACTACTGCTGCAAGCGTTTATGCCGCACCGTACTCACACATGAAGCAGATCATCAAATGGAGTTGCACTAAAACCCACTCTGCAGCATAGGGCTGCACACACAGGCACACACGCACACCTCTAGGAGCACCCAAAAGTGAAACATTTACCGCATCCGAATTTTGTTGCTGGCTTTCGGCGCACTGTCCAGGGGCATGCTCCACCTCTCTGGCTGTTGTTTTTGGTCCTCTTATGTCCTGTCTAGTGCTGTTTTGACTGCTCTTTTGATGCTTTTTTACGAGTGCAGTGCGCTGCTCGTGCAGGGTAATGTTTATTTTTTTGTTGTGTACCATTTTTACCATTTTGCAACACAAAATGAACTCTTGCCACAGCCACCAGCCACTGCCACTACTGCTGCTGCTGCTGCTGCTGCTGCAATAAAGTGAACTAAATTGAGTTGAAAATATTTTGCAACACCAACCGGGAGGCCCCGCCCGGAGGCTCCTCCTCGACCGCTTGGCACTGCAGTCAAAATTAAAGCTAAAGCCAAAGCCTTTGGGGGCAGTCATGGTACAGTGCTGACAATAAGTATATTCACCATGCATATGCGCTTCAATTATACATATACATAATACACACATACGCAGAGAATCGGAAGGAGACTGACTTCCTCCCACCAAAGCCCCCGGGGTGGTGGCGAATTGTTGTGTTGTGCAAATGAAATGGCAACCACTTTTGGGTGAACTTTTGCCTGCTCTCCATGGCTTGGTGGGGGTAGAAGCTTGGGGCACAGGTGCAGACGTCTAGACGTACAGGTTTTTGGAGTGCTTAGAAGGTGTTGCACGTTGTGTGTTGTCTGTGTGTGGTGGCTGGCAGCAAAGGGAAACCACAGGTTCTTATAATTAGCAAGAAGGGAAATTCCAAAGCAAAAGCAGGTATATTTTTGGAATATACAGGAAACCCAGAGCATAAGCCGACACTTGATTTATTTCCCAAAACCAAATATTAAACTGAGAAGTGCAGTGGCAACATTTGCTTATAATTCAAGAGATTTACCTGTGTGGCAATTCTTTTTGGAGGAGCCTGAATCTAGGAGCGACATCAGCCTGAAACTGTAATTGAAAAATTATTAAAAAAAATGATTAAGCCAAGAAAAATGTAAAATTATGGCTAAGTTATGGTTGAGAATTCCCAGAATTCCTTGGAAAGATATGCTCATATTTTTGGATAAATGTTCAAATAAATGTAAGCCTTTTATTTTTGCATTCTACCACAATCCTCTTATATTTCGACAATGTCTAGACATATTTTATATTAAAAGTAAACTAAGAGAAGGAAACTTAAAGGAATATTACCATCTGGCAGCACCCACATCCACCGCCACTCTGTTGCTCAGTTGCCTAGCCTGATTTGATGCCACAGTTACATGTACCATTGGCTCTCCTCATTTCATGACTTTCCTTTGATAGCCCGATGTCATTTGATGTCCCACAAATATGTATGTAATGTACATATGTAAATGTAACGGTAAACGGGGCGAAACCCTTGAGTTGCTGTCATCATTTGGGGTCCAAATTTCTGGTGACATTTCAAAGGTGAATAATGTCAGGCTAGGGCCAGGGTCTTGGACCTGCAACTGACAGGGACTCTGACTCTCCTGTCTCTCCCTTTCTATGCGTGCATGTGTGTGTGCGCCCGGAGGCACAGTCCACCCAATGTGGCAGTGGGTGGCAGGACATTAAATTTACAATATGTTCATTGCTGCTGCCTCAACGTCTCTCCATTTGGTTTGATAATAACGTTTTCTCTTCTTTTTTTTTTGTGTCAAATGTAATTTTCTCCCCTGAAGAAATTGATTTGACGGCATTCGAGCCGCGCGGATCCACTGCCACTGCCACGTGGGAGATGTGATGTTGATGGGAGATGTGAGGCTGCTGCTCGTAAAACGCATATTTATGAAGAGCATAAAAATTATTGACATATATGAGGATACGGGGAAACGTCTCGAGGTTCGAGGTTTGAGAGTCATAAATGCTTATACGCATAAGCACTCTCCTCTCCCTTCCAAAAACAACAAAAATAAAGAAAATTGCCAAAAAAAAAGGAATATAAAATTTGGCGTTTTTTTTTTTTTGGCTGACTTTATTCTCAAAGGCAGCTCGTAAATGCAATTTGATTTTGATTGGACTCTGGATTCAAACCAAATAAACTTCAAGGCTTTTAAAAGTAAATGGGAAATTTTGAAAGGATTTTAACAGGCGCTTCGGTTTTATTTTTGTTGGATCTTAAAGATGTGGTGCACATGGAGAACAAATTAGAATAAAATAAAGTAGGTATAAGTAAAAGTTTTCATTTAAGATGGGTTCTCCACTGTGGACTACGAACTGGACCGTGATTAATGGAAAAACCATTAACTGGAACATATCCAGAGCGTAGGGCAACTGGATTAGGTTAACCATAGGTCCACTGAGAGCGCCAATTGGACATAGTTCTCCCATAGATTTATAAGGGAAAGCGTTCTCCCAGTTCTATCATACGTTTCCCTTCAATAAAAGGTTATGAGATTAAACGTTTAAGACTTAAATTACATTGAATAGCGGAAGTAATCTGTGACTTTGAACAACCCTCTCTGGATATGCGAAAAGGGATATTTCGCCAATTGTCTGACACATAAAATCCACAGAGTAGCATATCCTTTGGACCATCAATTTTATGTTAATATTTAGCATATTTTTATGGGCTTAATCCAGTCATGAAATTGTGGAAATATGTTTTTACTGGCTGCCGATGACAATTGGTAGTGGCCCCTTGGCCCTTGGTCCTGCCCGGACGACTCCATAAACCAATGGATTGCTGTCTCGCTGGGGCAAGCAGTCAGGCAGTCAGGCAGGCAGAGATTGAAACTCTATAAATGCTGCGAATTGACTTGTGGATTACCAATTTCTGAATTGCTTGCAATTATTTGCGGGGCGCCGCCATAAGTATATTTCAGCGGGCACATTCCATATAGTTTATGATGTTATTTGTTTGCGTTTGTGTTTGATTCTTAAAGAAATTTCCTTTAAATATTCATGTGGTATGAAAATCTGCACAAAGTTTTGGCAAAAATGAAGCAAAATCGAGCGGCAAAGAAAAGGGAAAAGTTCGACAGGCATTTCCAGTACGAGTACAATAAAAATATGTACAAAAGCATTTCGAGCGTACACAAGTCGACTTCCTGTTTGGCAAGGACAGGGACATTCTATACGAATCCATGCGCAAACATGGCACATACACGCACGGAAGGGGGTGTGGAGTGGACATGTTCCGGGGAACTGTACATTCTATTGTAGTTGTTCCCTGTCCTCTCCTGTCCCTTGCCCAATGGCTGCTTGCCTTTCCCCCTTTGCTCTGTTTATGCCGCACACAAAAATATTCACTGGGAAATCGGAAATCAAAAATAGCTACAGTTCTGTTTCCCGGGTTTCCCCCGGGTGCCTGCGGCCTGGTTGGGTGGCTTTCCTTTCGGTATTTACATATTCCATTGTTGAGCGGTTGGAGGAGCATGAGTGCATAAATCGGATGACTGTATTCGGGGTCTGTGCAGAAGGAGGTCCTGCGCTTTTGTGACCTCTCTGTCATACTTTTAGCCATTGTCCGGCTGTGGGTGTGGCGGGTTGTGTGGTTTGTCGAGTGGGTCATCCATAATCCTTCCAAAGACATTTGACACTTTACCCGAAGACATTTCATCGCATCTCATGAACAGAAATTAATTACTAACGAGATTTATCAGACAGCACTGATGAGTGACAGCCCATCGATGTGGGGATGGGCGCGGATGCGAAATATAAATTAGTTTAATTAAATAATTGTTTGCTCAGCATTCCGCACACACACTCATTTCCCCCCTCCCTTCCGGCCAGACAAAGCGACGTCATTGAAATTAACATAATACTCGCACAATACTCATAATTAATGGGGGGAAATTTGCAGTGTGGGCTGTGAGGGGAACGTGTAAAGGCTTCCTGATTTTCCGCTTTGCTTTGCGGAAAAACTTGAATCTAAATAAACACAAGAAAATGTTATCCAAAACTGTCATTTGATTGAAATGGGATATCTATGGAAGTCCAAGGAAGTATCTGCCAGCTCCCTGGCAATGTTTTGTCTGTGGTCCTGTCCACACAGTCCTGACCCGCTCTGTCCCGTGCTGCCTTGAGTATTTTTGCCCCGAAATGAAAACTTTATTGACACTATCTGCAGACCGTTACTCTACTCTGGGTCCTCTACTGTCTGCCCGTCGCCCCTTCTCCCTGTATGCTTTCTGTTGTCGTTTCACTTAAGCAAAATTTCCTTTGCAAATATTGAATTTACTTCACGAAAATGTTTTCCAATTTTCATCATTCTAACTATCTCTCCCTCTTTCTATCGTTTACAGATCATGTGCGGGAGTTCACATGCGGCAGACTGTATTATCGCACCTTTCATATGAACGAGGAGCGGGACTCGCTATATGTGGGCGCCATGTAAGTATTTTACTGGAATTTGTTTACTTTCAACATTAAACCGTTTTGCCTTTTGCAGGGATCGCGTATTCCGTTTGAACTTGCAGAACATCTCCTCATCCTATTGTGATGTAAGTACAGCCACAGCTAAATGCCAACCAAAAGGTTGTTTTTCTTTTTTGGCGCAGTTACATAATCGGAATAAAATATATTCCTTAAATATGTTAATCCTGGGGCAGCAGATAAAAGTCTACTCCAGCCGTTGGCCGGGCTTGATGTCTCTCCCAAAAGGTGGACTGCTGGTGGCCTGCCTGTTGGCCAGGTTCAAGCCACAAATCTATCGTGACAGTTGGGAGTGAGTGGACCAGAATCGGGGCAAGCTTTTATCCAAAACAACAACAACAACAACAACAGCGGCAGCGCAGCTCTGTGCACCTTTGCGGCGTGGCGTCTCTTGTTAAAAATTCATTATGTGCCACTCTACTCAATCCCTGTAACTGCCTGTGCGTGTGTGTGTACCTCTCCATGTGCCTCTGAGAGGAGTGTGTATCTGTGTCTGTGTATTTCCATAGTTTCTAAATGGCCGCTAAGCTTCCATCCAGCAGCCTTTTGTGGCCATAAAGCGTCACATCTAAACGTTGTCAACACAATGCACAGGCTTAGCCAGCCTTTTAGGCGCACTTCAAATGACAACGAGAAAAGAGCGAGAACATACCCACAAATCTTCGATTCCCCAAGCGACGACGACACAGCACACCAACAACCATGTTTCCTTTAGTGGAGCCAACAAAAAGGCCGCAAAAAAGGGCCTAAAAAAACATATTTAATATGCACTCTTGTCCATGGGCATTATGTTCTCTGAATTCCCTGTGCTCTACACAGGTTTATGCGTTGCCCGGAGATCAGATCAAAATCAGAGACTGCGCGAGAGAGAGAGAGAGATTGTGTGTGTGTGTGCCACGAAACTTGCCACAACATTTTCCGCTGGCAATTCGATTACAGGAAGTGCGATGTGCCTGCGCCCCCCAGCCCCCGCGTATGTGCGAATTGTTTATGAATTTATGACTTACAAAAGTTTGTTTTATGAGCCCGAGACGGGACACACCTGACTGGGCAAACAGCCCACCTCCATTCTGGGATACTCCATTTCGTAATCGTAAAACTCTAAGAGGTTATATATTCGTACAGGCGCGGAGCAGGCGAGAGGATCTGGCCTCCATCCATGCGGTTACGTCAATATATTTAATGCGGTTAAGTGCGAATACCCTGCGCCATGGGCATCATTTGGTGCCTTTTTTTGGCCTATACGCGATGGCTCTCCTGTTGCTGCTTCAGTGCCTGCCCTGTGCCTGCACCTGTACACCCCCCCCCCAGCACTTCGGTGCTGCTGCTGCCGTTCCTCTGCTTTATGCGCCAAATGCAAATTCAGCTAAATAATACATGATTTTGGTTTTATATGAACGCTCTGCTGCGACTGCCAGCCAGCCTCTTAGGTGGGTGGTTGGTTGCTTGCTTGGGTACATGGGTGGCTCGTTGGGTTTGCAGGATGCCCTAACGGTTAGCCCTAGAAGGCTGGTGCGTGAAAATATTTCGCGTGTGTGTGTGTGTGTGTGTGTGCTTTGGGGGGTAACATTACGTGATTTATAAATAAATTTAGTTGAAAGCATTTCTGAAGGTGCCACGAACTGCTGCTAGTTGTAGTTTATGCCACAAGGCACAGCCAGCCGCAGTCTGCCATACTTTGGAATATACATACATACATACATACATACATACATACATAAATGCATATGTATATGTACAATGTACATATTTTTCCTTCATGTGGCGCTGGAAATTGAATTTTTGAATTGATTGCACGTGAGCTCTTAACTGGCTAATGTCTGTCGATTGAACTACATTTCTGCTGCTCTAGATTACATTAAATTAACGATTATTATATGTGTATTTCCTTATATCTCTGTTGCAGCGCGATGTGATCAACCTGGAGCCCACGCGTGATGATGTTGTCAGTTGTGTATCCAAGGGAAAGAGTCAGGTATGTTTAGATCTCCTTAAAGAGTCTCTTAAAGAGGGTTAGTAGCCAATGCCATTCTGTTCGTATTTTGGGTACTAAAATGTGTCCAAATGTGTACAAAAATGTGCAAATATCTATCAGTAAAGATAACGCTTAGAGTTCCTCCTTTAAAAACTCACAAAACACATTCAATTTTAATCTAAAATCCTCTGCGAATTGGGTCAGTAATCGCTAACAGCAATTGCCGTGCCCCAACGATAGATAATTCGTACACTTTTGAGACGCAATGAAGCAATAAAACTATTAAGATGCATTAGAGAAATCACATGCCCGTGTGCAGATATTTTGCAGTAATTCGATTTTTCTTTCTCGTTTTTAAAGCCGGAGAAGAAATGGCATGGGGCTGCGGCTGCTGTTGCAACTCGTTTATAATGTGACAGCAAATCCTTTCATTTGAAATCAATTTCAAGTTATTCGTGGCAGTGGCAGTGGCAGTGCCAGGAGTGCCA